GTTGACTCTCACTCCACTGGCCTCAGCCCATGGATTCATCTAGTCCCAATCCCTCTATAGAGCTTCCTGTCCTCCTGCAGATCCACATCCCACCCTTATTTGGGGAAGCAAACCAGGGACAGCCAGTAACTCCCCTTCTCTGGCACCGTGGCTGTGGGATTGGGATAGGGATGGGGACTGGCAGCTTTACCTTCTTGCTGCAGCCTCTGCAGGGAGCTTTGTAGGATGAGAGCTGCTTCTCCACGCTGGAAGCCTTCTCCACCTTTTTGGGATCAAAGGGCACGCGGCAGAGTGGGCACAGCGGGGATGGCACCTGCAGGCAGGGCTGCAGGCATTCCCCACAAAACCTGGGAGCACAGAGCGCGACTGAGCACCCCGGGAAGAAAAGCAGGATCCCATCGGGGCATACCCACTCCCAGGGACTCAGAGCACCCCAAAACCCAGGGATCAGTAGCCCAACTGGGAGAACTGGGAGGTTGGGAGAGGGTGAGAGGAGGCCCCCAAGATGCTCCCTGCATGTACAGATGATTCCGCTGCTCTGAGACTGGATTTGAAAGGAGCCAAACAAAAATGGTGCTGAGTATCCAGGTCAGGCAGGGATGGAGTGAGCACATTAGAGCCCGGATCACTTCCTTCCAAGGTCCTTATATCCCCAGGAGTGTGGCTGAGGAATCCAGGTGGGGAGGAGGTGCAGGAAAGCACCTCCAGGCACAAGGCAAAGCAGCTCTGTCCTCAAAATCCAATTATCCCAGCATTCATGTCCCTTCCTACCCAGCTCTTGTCATCAGGAACAGAGAATGAAACACCTCAAACCCTCTGCCACTGCAAGGGGAGTAGGAATGAGCAAGGGGGATAATGGAGGGGATCTGGAATCATCCCCAGCCTCAAACAAGCTAGAGGGGGATAAGCGAGGCAGCGCTGGAGCTCCAAGCAAAGCCACAGGCCCACTGGGGGTGTCCTCAAAATCAGATGGAAAACTGGATGAAGGTGTTCCTGAAATGCTGGGGGGACAAAGAGACAAGAGTTTGAGAGGTCCTGGGGTGGGAGCCAGGTCTGGGAGCAGAGGGACCTCTGGGTGGTCAGTGGGACACCCACATCAGATCCAGGCTGGGGAACACTGAGGGGGACAGTGCAGCACCCCATCCCCAAAGAGGGAAGGATCAAGGATGAGGACAAGGGGGGAGAGATGGGGGTCCCAGTACCGTATCTAGGGGAGGGATAGGGGTCCCAGTACCAAGATAGGAGGGATGGGATGGGGGTCCAGAGATGAGAGGGATGAGATGGAGATCCTGGTGCTGTATGGGAGAGGCGGTGGTCTCGGTACCAGGATGAGATGGGTAGGAATGGGGGTCCCATTATCTGACCTGGGGTGGGATGGGATGATGCTGAATTTGGGGGTGGGATGGGGGTCCCAGAAACAGACTTAGGGGGGTGAGATGAGGATGTTGGGATGGGAGGGGTGAGATGGGGGCCCCCGTGTGGGATGGAGGACTGGGATGAGGGTCCCGGTATCAGGATGGGAGCAGTGGGAATAGGGGTCCTGGTACCTGACAGGGGGTGGGATGGGGGTCTCAGTACCAGGACAGGAGGGCTGGGAATGGGGGTCCTGGTACAGAACCATCCCAGAGGTGGGAATGGGGGAGCCAGTGTGGGATATTTGACTGGGGCTGGGATGATATATCAGTATCGGGCTGCCCCGTACTGAACCATCCCGGTGTGGGATGGGGGACCCGGTGTGGGTTGGGGGTCCCGGTATTTGACTGGGAGTGGGGTGAGGGTCCCGGTACTCGACTGGGGGTGGGATGGGGGTCTCGTCGCCGGCCAAGGTCACTCGGCAATGA